CCGGGCCGGCCCTGAATTTACTTTTATAAATAGGTTAATCAGGGGCCGGCCCGGTGGCGCACTGCTACAGTGTGCCGCTTGGGAGCGTGGTGGCGCTCCCGCCGAGGGTTCGGATCCCACATACAGACCGGTTCCCGCTCACTGGCTGAGCGAGGTGTGGGCGTGGCACCGAGGGTTGCGATCCCGTTACCAGTCCTGGTCCAGTACTGGCGTGACACTGAGGGTTGCAATCCGTTGCCGGACACGAAAAAAAGACAAAAAAGGAAAATAAATAAATAAATAAATAGGTTAATCAGCAAAGGCAAATTATAATTTGTCAGTATTATAAAGTTCAAATAATACAATAGCATACATGTTCTAAAATATCAATTTATATTTCTGTTGGCTTTTCAGTCCTAATTTCTATAAAGGCAGTGCTATTTGGGATAACAACAGGTGTTTATTGAGCAGTGCAGTGATCACCAGGGGTCATCTAAGGCTCATCTAGACATTCAGGCTTATGAGATACACATAAGCCATTTTCATCGTCAGAATCACTTCGGATGATATAGGTCAGGAAGCACAGCATGATATTTTGTTTGTATTTTTCTTTTTTATGTTGTCTTTTTTATCATGTTTTAGATGTCAATATTATGATTGCTTAGTAAAAGATTTAGGAAGGTTTTCTTCATTTTCAATGCTTTAGAATAATATGTAGTTTATTTAGACCACCTGCTCATAGAAGTGTTTGTCGAATTCCCCTGTGAAATCATGTGAGCTGGTGCTCTTTTGTGGGAAGAGTTCCCTGATAACCTTTTCTCTTTTTTTCCTAGTCGGTTTAAGCTTTGTATCTCTAATGGTGTCAATTTTATTAAACTGTTTTTTTCTAGGAAATGATCCATTTCATATAGATTTTCAAATTTATTTGCATAGAGGTCTGAAAAATAGTGTCTTAAAAATTTCTTCTGTTTCAGGGCCGGCCCGTGGCTCACTCAGTAGAGTGCGGTGCTGATAACACCAAGGCCATGGGTTCGGATCCCTATATAGGGATGGCCGGTTCGCTCACTGGCTGAGCGTGGTGCTGACAACACCAAGCCAAGGGTTGAGATCCCCTTACCGGTCATCTTTTTAAAAAAAAAAAAAAATTTCTTTTGTTTCAATATTTTTCACCCCCTAGTCATTTCTTATTTTTTCATATTTTCGCTTCCTTTTTTCCTTAAGTCTTGGTTTGTGTATTTTAACTGAGAAAGAATAAGACTTTTTAAAATTACTTATGTAATTTTTTTATTCTCTAATTCATTAATTTTGCTTTTAACTTTATTTCCTTTCTTGTGCTTGTTTATTTACTTTGTTCTTTTTCTACCTTTTTTAGCTGAGCATTTAATTCATTTATTTTTATTATTTTTATTTCTGTTAATAAAAGTGAGTTCTCCTGATTCACCATTTTAGATATTTCCCACAGATTTTGATACACAGCATTTTCATTATGATTACTTTTTAAAGAATTCTATAATTTAATTTGTATTTCACCTTCTACCCAACAGGTTTTTTTTTAAAAGATGACCAGTAAGAGGATCTTAACCCTTGACTTGGTGTTGTTAGAACCATGCTCTCCTAAGTGGGCTAACCGGCCATCCCTATATAGGGATCCAACCCTGTGGCCTTGGTGCTATCAGTACCACACTCTGCCAAGTGAGCCACGGGCTGGCCCTTACCCAAGAGTTTTTTAATGGAAGGTTTTTCAGGGAGAATGGCCTATTTTTTTCTATTTTAATTCTTGTTAATAATTTCTAGTTTTATTGCATTGTAATCACACAGTATTGTTCTTGTAATATTTCTATTTATGGAACTTATTGATGTTTTTCTTTGTGATGTAATATTGATTTTTTTATAAATTGTCTATGTGTACTTGAGAAGAAGGTATGGTCTTTATTATTGGTTGTAAAGCTGGATCTATATATCCATAAGAACTGCCTTATTGATTGTGTTGTGTAGGTCTTCTGTATCTTTACTTATTTTTTGTCAACCTGATCTGTCTTGTACTAAGATTGGCATATTCGTCTCATTAGTGTGTTTCTATTTATACAAGTATATCCTTGTATCTTATATTTGTTGCTTTATGAAAGCTGTGTGTGCGTATTTATAATTGTTCTTATTTGTGAATTGTGGCTTTTAACATAAAAATATCCTCTTTTGCCGTGTTTTATGCTTTTTGGCTTGAATTTTACTTGTGATAAGTGCCCACTAGGGGTGATCTTAGGCTCATCTAGACATTCAGACTCATGATATACACATAAGCCATTTTCAACATCAGAATCACTTAGGAAGATATAGGTCAGGAAGCACGATACAGGTCAGTGTCACTACCCTTGCTTTTTTACTGTTTCCATCTGCTTGGTATGCCTTTTGCCCATCTCTTTATTTTTAGCCTTTCTGAATCATTTTGTTTTTATTGACATCTCTTGTATACAACATATAGTTGGGTTTTGCTTTGGGAGTCAAATTGAAT